TTTCCATTGCTTTTTGGGTTTTTATGATTTTGTCCATGTTTGCTTTTGTAAATGTCCACGTTTAGGAACCATAAGTGAGAACAAGGAGTACTTTTCACTGCCCAATGTTCGACACTGTCGAAAGCCTTTTCGAAATCTATAAACACTATATATAGAGGAATTTTGTATTCATTTGCTCCTTCTATAAATATTTTCATACTTAGTAAATGGTCACTTGTGCTGAATCCCTTTCTAAAACCAGCTTGTTCTTTCGACTGGTCTCTGTCGAATTTTGTCGTCAGTCCATTGGTTAAAAATTTTGTTAAGAGTTTATACATTACAGAGAGGAGTGTTATAGGACGGTAGTTTTTTATATCTACTTTATCCCCTCTCTTGTGTAGGATAATGACTATGAATTCCTTGCAGTTGTTTGGGATTCTTTTTTCTTTTAATATCTTGTTAAAAAGGGAATGTAGAGTATTAATTATCACTTTTCCACCATATTTTAGCATCTTTGCAGTTATTCCATCTTTTCCAGGCGATTTGTTGTTTTTCATTTCTTTCAATGATAATTCGTAGCTCTACTAACAGAAGAAGCCCCATCACGAAGCACTGGAAATTTTATTAATTGATGCTTATTTTCAAGACAACCTTAAAAAAAATTAAAAAAAATAAATAAAGGCTTTGGCCACCAAAAAACTCAAAAAATACTAGCATATTTTAATGCTCTCTCTATACATAACCAAAATAGATTTTTCCCCAAATTAATTAACTAAGTCAGTGTTTGATCCAGTTAAAAAATATGTGGTATTTCCTTCATCCCAGCCGACCGACGGTGCATTACCTGGTATAACACACATAAAATATATAGGTACGTTTAAATTATTGCTTTCTATATGGCATCGGTAATACCCGCCCGTAAGTTTCACAAGAAAAGAATACTTGGAATTAAAATATCACAGTTTTAAAAAGTACCTGGGAGTGTAAATATTACAAATCGCGTCAAACTAATAATAATGGGAACTTTTCAACCCCACTCTATACCAAGAATTTTATTAAATGTGTTTATTATTAGAATTTAACATTTCATATAGACCGTCAGAGTTAGTGTAAACCAAAAATTTTACCGTGGAAAAGTTGCGGAAATTTAAGAAAATTCGAAAATTTCTTTTTTGGAAAAAGGCACCAGGTTCAATTCTACCTTTTTTTGTGCTTAAAATTTCGTGCTTAATTAAACAACGTGATAGGGCTTATAAAGATTTTAAAAAATTGACGTCATTGAAAAACAACATAAATGGCAGGTTTTTAAGAGACATAGAAATGAGGTTCTATTTTAACAACATAGACAGGTATAGAAACAACAAAAAAAAATGTGGAAAACTTTAAAAAAATTAATCAATAATAATAATCAATAGCAGTTTTAATGAGTATTTTCATGAAAGCATTGAAAGTATTGTTCAAAGTATTGATGGTTCTGAAACATGTTGTAATGTAAATAGTAATTTATATTTAAATTTTGAAAAAATTGAAGAGCTGTCTATGCACGATTTGCGAAAAATTGTTGGCAATGTAGATAATAAATTCTCAATACATGAAACGTCAAATTGCAGAATGGTAAAGGAAGTTTTGAAACCATTGGGCACGTTATGTTAAATTTAATTAATACATCTCTTACTACGGGTAGAATTCCTGATGTATTAAAAATAAGTACTAACACCCCGATTCAAAAAAATACCCAACACTATCAAAGCTGAAGAATTCCGACCAAACAATAGTTATCAATACCTCTTATAGAGAAAATATTAGAAATTGCTGTTTATGAATAATTATTAGAACATGTAACAAAAAATAAAATTTTAATTAATAATCAATCAGATTTTCGAAAACAATTCTCTTGTGAATCAGCGTTACAAGTTACATTATGTCACATAAAGAGTAATTTAGATAAAAATAAGTACGTAGTCGGTGTATTTCTTGATTTAAAAAGAGCTTTTGAAACCATTGACAGGACAATAATGATTTCTAAATTTAAACAGTATGGTATAGGAAGTACAGAAATTGCGTGGTTAGAAAATTATTTATAGGATCGCAAACAGAAAGTTCGATTTAAAGACCAATTGTCATCTGAAATGGATAGTAATACAGGGATTTAGGCCCCCTTTTATTTATTCTGTACATTAACGATATCGATATTTTTGTAATTTGTGAATTTATTAATCTTTTTGCCGATGATACTCTAATATGTTGTAGTGATGAAAATTTTGATTTAGCCATTCAAAAAATGAACACTATTTTAAATATGGTTGATATATATTTAAAAATTCATAAAGTGAAGTTGAATGTGAAAAAAAGGCAGTGGTTTTCACTACCAAACATAAATGTAGCTTGCTTGATTCTGACATCATAAATTTAAATATTAATAATGAAAAAATTGAAATTGTCACAACAGTTAAATATTTGGGATTCCAGTTTGACAATATTCTGAATTTTGAGAGTCACTTTCAGTACGTTTATAAAAAAATATCAAAAAAACTTTACTTTCTGAGTAGAATATCTCAAAATTTATCAATGGAATCAAACATAACAGTCTATAACAAACACAATTATTCAACCCCATTTTGTATATAACCTTTGCAACAAAATTTGCAACCTCAATATATATAATAAATAATATTAAAAGTTATAATAACTGGGACACGTAATGAGGGGACAGCGGTATGAACTGCTAAGGCTGATAATACAGGGAAAGATAAGAGTAGAAAGGAGTATAGGAAGAAGAAGAGCGTCATGATTAAAGAATTTAAGGGACTGGTTTAAATGCAGTTCTATAGAACTCTTTAGAGCAGCAGTAGATAGAGTAAATATATTGACGATGATATCCAACCTCCAATTGGGAGACGGCACTTAAAGAAGAAGATTGGTTTACCATTCACACTGATTCTTCCCAATTGCTGTTTATATAATAAAGGAAATTTGTATAGATAGTTAAAATTACTACATAAATTTTTATATAGTTTTTATTTAACAACTATTATTTATGATTACTACCCACTCATGCATAAAGATTTAGTGTGTTATTAAAAAAATAATTAAGAGGAAAACATGAATTGTTGGAATTGATATTCCTCAACGTTCTAAAGGTATATAATTAAGAATTCCATGATTAATCACAATAACTTCGTTGAAAGCCTATCGAAACGTGAAATAGTATATATTTTTTATAATAAAGCCAATCATTGATATGGCGAATTGGTGTAAATACATTAATTTGAATTACCAAACAAGGGAAGAAATTATGTTTTATGATAAATCTATCTAAGGATATTACAATTTTCCAGGCGGAAACAATGGCAATCTGTTATTACGTTAAAGCAATAGAAAGGCAGAAGAGAATGGGATTTTTTTTAAGTTCCATCTTCTATCGAAAGTTGGAAATCATCATGGCTATGCGATCCCTGTTAGCTGTCGCTCTAAATAGTTTTGCAGTTCTACATTCAAACCATTCCCTCAAGTTGTTAATCCACGATATTCTCCGTCTTCTTACGCATTTCGCATTCCACGAATTTTGTTTTGCATGGTAAGTTGGAATAATGAGTATCTGTGCCTCTTATTACTTGACCTAAGTACTCAAGTTTTCTTCTTTTATTGGTCAATAATATTTCAGCTTCATTAATTATTCTTCTAGTAACTTCTGCGTTCGACATTCTTTAAGTCCATTATATTCGTAGGATTTATACCATCAAAATTCAAAGGCGGTCAACTTATTCAGATGCACTTGTTTTAACGTCCATGCTTCCAAACCATCAGGAAGAGTAGTGAATACGTAACACCGAAGCATCCTTCGTTACAGACCATGAAGACCGAAAATTACTCTAGTTGGTGTATTTTTTGTACTATTTGTTACCTATAACGTTCAAGTTGCTCTTATTATATTATTGTTAGTGTATGTTTTGTTACGTATCAAATTAAACATAATTTTTTTGTAGCCTTTTATTTCAAAAATAAGACGCGGATCCGCGTCCGTTAGCATTTGGTGTGAAAATTTGTGGTGATCCGCGTCCTTTCGACATTTCCTCTCAAATGTGGCATATAATGTCTAAAACATATAAAACGCCAACAACCAACTCTTATCACTGTTTGTTGAAACAAAGTTCCTAGTACCTCGCATGTTCCTATTAGATTACATACGCAGTGAACCTGTTAATGTATCGTCTGCAAAACGCAAGTTTCAAAACATCTCCATTATTGATGTACCTTCTATCGAATCTGAGAGTGCTTCTTTAAATACCGCTTTACTGTAGACATTAAAGAGTAGTGGTGACAGCACGCAACCATAGCAGACTCCTGTCTGTATTTTAATATCTCAGGTGTTCTGATTTTCAACTCTTACCTTGGCAGTTTGATTCCAATATAGATTAGATTTCCATAATACGACTGTCAATATCTTTGCTTTTTAATATATATACAAGCGTTTAATGTTCAATCAAATGCCTTTTCAAAATCTATAAAACATATGTATATGTCCTGATTAATGTTCATGCATCTCTGGGTCAGCATATTCAAGCCTACTAAAGCATGTCTTGTGTCCATACCATTTATAAAGCGCCAAATTGTGCGTCACTCATGTTTTATTCAGGAGCTTTAACATTTCTGCTGTGTATTATTTTCAAAACTGTTTTAAGTATGTGTCATTAAAGTTATTGTTCTGTAATCTGAGCAGGATGTTGCACTTGACTTTTTGGGTTACATAGCTACAAAGGTTGATTATTCTTACCAAAATTGTTTAATTTTATTAACATATTTATCACATTGACCTTATTTTATACCGGTTGAATCCTGTCTATGAAATTACTAATATACCTGATTGTTGCAAAATTACGCCTGGTCGATAAAATCAGGGAGTGATAACATGATTTTTGCACCACGTAGTGCTGTGCAATTTTTAAGCTTAACGAACATGTTTCTAAAACTTCTATGTAATTACAATTATGTCACCTATTTACGCAAATAAATTTTTTCAGATATTGATGCCGCATAAACCAAAATCCAAACCATTTTTGGTGCTCCCTCTGCTAGAATCAGATCTGTTAGAACGGACTTCCTCAAACCTCCTGGACATGCCTACCAAAAACCCAGGTCTGCACCTTTTTACAAAAACTTTTCCCTCTCATAAGAAACGAAAAGACTCAGATGAGAATAAAAGACCACTTACGGCAACTTTAGAGAAACCGACTATTTTAGACATACGACTTATAGGAAAAATCGATATGAGTAAAATAAGGAAGGAATTTTTAAATATTTCGAACTTATGTCGTTTACCAATCCTTTTAAAGAAATCTAAGAATTCAAAACCACATAGACCTTTGAGTCTTCCACCACCAGCTATAGAAAAGAAGAAGAAAGCAAAAGATTCGGATGACTTAAGTATCTTAAGTATGGGCGAGGAAGAAGAGAGCACGCAAAGTGTCAGAGTGACAGGAAGGCATGCGTCAAAATTAAAAAGTATTACTGGAAAACGGACTGTGAAGACCTGTGATGATAATAATAATAATAGCAGTAAGACTATAAGGTAAGTGAATTTTATTTGGTGTTTTTTATAAAGTAATTTGTTTGGTAAATATTGTATGTTTGGCGTAATACGCTTTAATAATGATCAAAAAAATGTTTTTTAAAAGTTTTCTACTAATTAGGCGGTACAGTTAATATCGCATTTATTTATCTAATTTTTTATTTATTTGTTAAGCCTGTCATTATTTAATACACCTACCGCACTATACGAGCAACATCTGCTTCAAACTCTTGCAAATTTCCACGTGCTCGTTAAATTCTATCTACTTGTTGTAGATGCGCATCTCCTTAACGTTTGTCTAGTCGAATGAACAAGGTCTGGTAACATTTTTATTGACCCTTAGGAATCGATCTTAGGATATCTGCAGCATCACCTCGTAAAGCAGCAGTCAAGGAAACAGCCTTTTCTTGTTCTGTCCAACGATTGGCTTCAAATTGTCTAAGTTATATGGACCAAGAAGACTTTCCATCAAATTGTGGCCTTTGAATCTCATATGATGTGTCGTTTCGTCTTTAGGTGATTCTTCTTTCACTACAGTAGCTAAAACGACTGCGTTAACTGGTGGTAGCACTTTTGTATTAGTTATCTTGGTCTCTAGCTGTTTGGCCTTCTCTTCTACATCGTTTATATTTTTCTGTATATGATGGAATATTATAGAAACTTCTTCGAATTTCTCATTGTTCTGACTACTTCTGAAACTTCTTTAATTATTTGAGAAGTCTCGTCGAATCTTCTAGAAACATTTTCGAATTTCTCGTCAGTTTGTCTAGCTGCTTCTTTAATAATTTGAGACGTTTCATTGAATGGTTGGAAACATTATCATTCATATTTTTGAATTTTCCATGAATTATTTTCGTTAAAACTTCTTCTTCTGCTGATTGAAACTGGAATATCTCTGGGTCATCTCCATTCTTCTTGAGAACAATCTTCAGTCGTTCTTGGAGGATCTTCTTGGATCCGCTGCAGTCTTCATCGCGTTCTTCTAGTTGCTCACGTAACTGTTTTACTGACAGTTCTACTAGCAGCATCTTTGGACAGGCACACATGTACTTTTTTTAAATGTTCTTTCTTACAAAGATCACTACCGAACTACGATGTTCCCGACAAACAATAGTTTTCAAAAGTTCAAAAGTCACAGCTGAATTTATTTTTAAATAAATCGATTATCCTCACACTGTGACACCAACTGTAGCGTATTTCAATAAAACGAACGGTTCTAATTTATGTAAATATAATAATTTATGAGTTTACAGTACTATAGTATCTTAACAGCTAAACTAGCTAATATCAGCGCTGCTTATATATACAAGTTATTATGTACTAGAATAATCTGGAATAGTCTACCTCTATTTTGCTTGTTTGACAAGTCAATCTCTCAAACCTTCGAGAAGTTACATCATCGTTCTCGAGATGCAACCTTTATATGCAACCGGCTACGTCGAATGCATGTTCGTAACAATACGTATAGTCCTCCTGTTTCTTCGCAAGGGTTCTGGAACTCTCGTGAAATCAGCACAACCGTAGAATTTCTGCGAACGCTGTGAGATCAGGGGCGTAGCATGGGCTGGTGTGATATTACTTAAGAAGATGAAGGATATGATATTATTTTATCTATCTCCAGAATCTCTAGAATGTGAAGTCTCTTTTTTTTAGACTGTAATTTATGAATACCAAATTGTTCTTCTATCTTAAATTCATCAAACTATCTTCTTTTTAAAATCCACAAGGAAACTAAGTTCCTGTAGATGGCTATATACCATATATCACAAATTTTTTTTATAAAATCCTTTCTAAAAGGTATATAATTTTAAAATCCAATCGGGCTATATCACAACAAAACGTTTTCGGAATCCATTATCCATCATCAATGTCTAGGTGTACATGTTTTGAGCCATTAAATATCTGGGTAAAAATCCGATAAAAGTTATATGTTTAAATTTAGTTTACATAATTTGATCTTATATATTAAGATGTTAAAGTTACCAGTTGATTTGGCAACATGGCAACGTACGACTCCACATTACGTTTGCGCTTTTAACGTCCATGTTTCTACCCCGTAAAATAGTTGGAACCTGACGTAATATTCAACAAACCTCAGTCTCAGCGCAGTATTCAGATTTTTCTGGATATACAGAACAATTCTTATTTCCTATTTTCTTTCCCACGAGGCTTTTCTAAATATGACCTGTATACACGTTGAAAAGCGTCAGAGACAAGACGCATCCTTGCCTAACCCTCTCGCAGTCGGCTTATAATTTGTTTCTATATCGTTCACCTTTATTACTGCTTTCTGGTTCTAGTCTATAGCCTTAATAAACTAAATGTCTTTTTATCTAAATTGATGTTTTTTAATTCATCTATTAACTTCATATGCTGCATTCGGTCAAAGGCCTTCCTAAAGTCTATGAAGCATACATATGCACTCTTGTTAAATTCCTAACATTTCTGCAAGAGTACCGTCAACTCAAATAATGCCTCTCTTGTACCCATGCCTCATCTGAAGCCAAACTGCGTTTGATCTATCTGCTCTTTACATTTCTTATAAATTCGGTTTGGAACAATTTTCAAGAGAATCTTCAAATGGAGGCACATTAGTCTTATCAATCTATAGTCATTACATGATTTGAAGTTATTGTTTTTTGGTAGAGGTAAACATATCGATTTAAGCCATTCCTCCGGGATGTTGCCCCCTACATATATGTGGTTGAGAATTGAGGTGACTCTCTTTACATTACCTTCTGTATATTACCTTGTTTTGCATTCTGTAGGGCACACTTTACTTCTGAGGGTAAAATTTGTAGGTATTGTTCTTCTTTACCTATATCTTGTTCATTATCCCTCTCGTTATGGAACAGATGGATTATATATCGTCCCCATACTTCCTTTATTTTGCTCTCTTCAGTAAGTATTCCTTTATTATTATCTCTTGTTATGAGTGTTCTTGTTTGTCTGGTGTTGCCTGTAAGTTCTTTCATTTTTTTATGTAAGTTTGAGGTGTCATGTTTGTTGCTGAGTTCTTCCAGTTCCTGGCATTCCTTGTTCATCCATTCCTCCTTAGCCTTTCTGATTTCATATTTGATTTTATTTTTGGTGGTTTTCTTTTTTCAGTTATTAGCTCAACTATTTCCGGTGTCATCTAGTCTTTTTAAGTGGTTTTCTCTTCTTCGCCTAGGACCTCTTTTCCCGCTTTTAGTATGGCTGTTTTCATATCTGCCCATTTCACGCTTCCTTCAGTTAATTTATTTATCTCTGCGTTTAGTTGCTGTTGGCAGTTGTCGTCTTTTAAGTTTTTGATGATTATTTTGGCGATTTTAACTTTTTCTTCAGTTTTTGAGTTTAATACTGACTTGTAATAGATTATGGTCCGTATCTGCATCTGCACTTTGTACTCCATTATGAAACCTTTTGTTAATCGTTATAAAATCTATTTGGTTTCTGATTATATTGTTGGTGTTATCTTTTGGAGAAGTCCACGTGTATAATCTTCGTGAGGGTAGGTCGTAGTATATATTTTTTATGATAAATTCTTTCTGCTGGCAGTACTGGACTAGTCTATCATCTCTTTCATTTCTTTTACCTAACTCAAAATTTCCTACAATATTTCCAGTTTTTCCTCAACCGAAATAATTTTGTTTACCTCCGCTTCTTTATGTTTAACAGCTCTAAAACCTCGTAGAATTTTTCGACTTTAGCATCATTGCTATCGGATGTTGGAGCATACACTTGGATTAGATGTATGTTTAGAGGTTTGGCTTTCAGCTGAAGTAGCATCATACGCTTGTTAAAGGGAATGAAATTGGTCACAAACTCTTTTAAATTATTGTCTAATCTCTCCATATCTAGCATGACTATTGTTAATTGTCATGCTTCATAAAGTGTTCTTATATTCCAAGTTGCTATGCGTTTTAAATCGCTTACACTAAATTTGTTTTTCCGCCCGGGGATTCTTCGCACACATTTCCCATTATACTATATCAATATTAAATTAAAGCATCTTCAAGGACATCTGATATCAAATTTAAATTTTCAGCGGCAGTAAAAGACATCAGCTAATATCCTTTCCGTAATAGATATTTAGTAAAATTCATTAAATGTGCTAACAGTATTTTTATTAGCATTTAATGGTGTTAAATAACATAAATAATTCATTGTACAAAGCCATGTGCGTCATTTCTTGAAATTTCTAATAGAAGTTCCAATATTCTTAGCTATAAATAAATATACATGGAAATATAGATCAATAAAAAAACTAGTTTAATTTTTTTTATAATAGAAGTGAAAATACGTATTTTTTGTAACTTTAATTGCTAAGTCTAGTAAATGATATGAAAACGTTTTATTGATTTTGTTACGAGTACATTGACGTATGTTTGGAATTTCTATGTTAATATTTGAATAGATGATAAATATATTGGAGAACGTGTAATTGTTATATACATATTTTTTTAATATCTACTGTTTAATTTAGTATTTATTAGTATTACTATTAATCCACTGAGATGGTAGGAATGTGGCCCAAAAACTCAAAATATAGGATTATCTAACTCAGTGATTCCCAACCGGGGGGCTATTACCCCGGGTGGGCGATTTGAGATATTCAGGGGGGCGATAGAGCGAAGGGGGCGATATGGGGGGCAACAGAGAAAAGGGGCGATAAGGGGGGCGTTTGGAAAACCGGAAAACAAAAAATGGGAAAAATAGGAGATGAGAAAAAAATACAATACTTTCGATCGGATATCCATAGGATAATAAAAAATAAATATATGTATACCAATGCAGGTAATAATCACATAAACATCTCGTCTAGTCACAGAGAGCTATGAATCATAATAAAATTTATCTATTTTTGAAGAAAATATGCAGAGAAGAGATCTGACCAAATTCCCCAACTTGAAATCTTCTTGTGGTGATTCTGAGAATCTTCAAAAATATTGCCTCCACCTTCAAACACTGAAAGAAGATCTGCAGTTCCGATTCCAAGATTTGACTAGTCTGAAAGTGCCAACTTGGTTTATCAATCCTTTCAGCGTGGAAGTTTCAACGGTATGTCCTTCTCTGCAAGAAACCTTAATTGTTTTGAAACATGATGTTGAAATTGAAAGTTTGTTTTGGGTGTGTGGTTATAAAAGATTTTGGTTGCGGATGAAAGAAGTGTATCCAATCTTGTGGAATGCAATCAAATTATCATTATTAACATTCCCCACAACATATCTAGTGAAGAAAGGTTTTAGTTCTGTGTGTACATTGAAAAACAGACAAAGAAATAGGCTCGACATAATAGAAAGAGAGGATTTGAGGTTGTTATTAACAAACATTGAGCCAGACATAAAGAAATTATGTGAGAGACAACAGGCCCAAGGAAGCCATTAACAATTATTTTACACACCTATAACCATTTATCATTTTACGAAATGTAAAAATAAATAAATATGCAAACTTACCTTTTGTATAGATTCATTATTTCTTTCAATTTAATTGAATGGGAAGGGGGCGGCGGGCGCTTTTAGTATTCATAACTGGTGAAACCTATCAAAGGGGGCGATCATGGGAAAATGGTTGGGAACCACTTGGGAACATATTCAATTAGCGTTTTAAATTTTTTGTATTGTGTGTGAAAGATAAGTTACATTTTCCTACTATTCTTTACATGTTTTTTACTTTATATGCCCTGGGGGGATGTGAACCCCCAAAACCCCCCTGGGTGCGCCACAGATGCCTACGTAGGTATTGTACATAATTTAGAACAGATAGACGAAACAACTAAATGAAACCATTGAGAGAGTAGGCAGAAAAAAGGGCAAAATCATTGAAGCAATAAAAGTAATAACAAGAGAGAAGAGGAAAGGTAGAGCAAAGTTCCAATCTGACGATTAAAATGTTTTTACACCAAATTTTGGGAACTGCTTCAAGAATTAATTTTAAAATTATCAATATCTTAAGGATTATTATATCGCTCATCGAAAATCAAAGTAAAGTCAATTCTAAAATTAGTTTCGTTGTACTTATTCTTTAAATTTTATCTGACATAGATCAATCATCAATCCAATTACTCATATCGAAAATTTTTGTTTATATATATATATATATATATATATATACATATATATATATATATATATATATATATATATATATATATATATATATATATATATATATATATATATAAGACGCTGAAAGGAAAATTGGTTAAGTCGTCTGAGCATCATTTTGAGATACAAAAGGTTTTATTAACGTGACGGTTATAAACATATGTAACTCTACTAACATTTCTGTACAAATGAAACTTTGTTAAGGGTAGTTTTTAAGTGGTTAAAGTACTTACACAACTTTTCCTTAAAGAGTTTAAAGAGAATCTACAGAAAGCAACACATGTTTATTGTTGTTACATTAGAAAATCAAAAATAAATTTAATAGTTTATTAGTCATTATTTTTTTCTACATCAGGAAGTGGTCCAGCTTCGTCATTGCCTTCATCAAATGATATAAGATTTCTAAAATAAGAATGGTGGACTGGAAGAATGTATGGTAATAAATTACACATACATCTGTATCTGCGGTGGCCTTGTGGACTCTCACGGGTTGTGTTCCTCTGGATGTGTTAGCAGTAGAAAAGAGATATCTCTATGAGATTAGAGATAATTTGACAACAGCCATAAAAACAAGAAGAAAGGGAAAGATCAATGAAAAGATGGCAAAAAGAGTGGAACAACAAGGAAGATGTTGCCCAGTAGACCAAGATGCTGATCTCGAGCCTAAGGGACTGATTAGATTGTCTGTTTTAGGGCAAATCTTCATAGGTTCAGAAAGACAGATACAGATAAAGCCTAACGCGTCGCCTCTGTATGTTGCAAACTTCTATTAGTCTTTGCAAGAATATGTCTTGGTTATCTTTACAATCCAAAGAATAAAAATTTCTTAAATTTTCTTATAAAAATCAAAAAATTATATACGCCAAATTATTATGTAAGTTGGACCTAAGTGTTTACCAGAAATATTATCTCCCTTGTAATTTCTGTGTGGTCCGCCTTTTGTACGTGATTTTTTATAATATTTCGTTGGTAGTTTTTAGGAACTGCTTTCCTCTTTTTGTGGGTAGTAACTTTGGCACTCGTTTCCATTTTACACTATTTTCAATAACAAATCACTTCAAATAGGAAATCAAAACACGCTATGTGTAACGACTATTTACGTAGATTATGATTGAATTTCTCGTAGAAATAACCAATTGCACAGCTGTTGAAGCGCATGTACATTTAATCTCTTACTGAAGCGCATGTACAAATGTCCAGGACTCATGTTGTTTCTGCTTATTACAAATAAATATATCGTTGACTACCAGATGAGTTAAATATGGACATGTGTTATTTTGCTTTAGTGCGATGTTATTATGTGTGTATACTCATATTCTTCCAAATACCAGATTTACGGAAAAATGGACATGTGTTGTTTCTGCATATAGCGATTCAACTGTATATGGCGCTCTGATAAGACCTAATGAGATTGAAATACGTATAACCAGCTTGCGGATGTCCTGTATCTAAATTAAATCTAATACTGTCTTTCTGTTGAAAAAAAAGATAGTTAAAAAATTCATCCACTTAATTAATAGACCTAATAGAACTAATATTTATCTCTGATATAACTTTAATTAAAGGTCAACGAAACAATTAGTTATTGATTGAAGAACTATCGTCGTAAACTTTTTTGATCATTTAATAATTCATAATTCTTAGAAGAATCCTAAATTTAGCCGCCTCCTTCATTGTCCTTACCACGACCCTGAGTACACGCCTATTAATGACATCATTATTTTTTCAGGATACCTCGTAGATGTCCAGCAGCACTCCCTAGCGACAATAAGCCGATAGGAAGTGCTGCTAGCGATACGAAATCGACCAAACAACTACCGCAACCTTGTAACTCCTGTGGAAGGTCCGACCAACCTGAGCGATTACACAGTCATCCCGTTACTCCAATAACAGCCAATTCTCCAAAACTACTAGGTAAGTGGACAATTTTAAATTTTTTAATCATAACATGTATTTGTATCGGTAGCATTTTAGAGGCGAACTTGTTTCGTTGTTAGTAACCACTTTTCGTAGTTTTGCGTGCTATAGGTAAAAAAAAATTTGAGAATTAAAAAAAATGTACTTCCGTAACAATATTTTATTTCCTCAATTTTTATTTTGTGATTTTTCTCAGTTTTTTTTTTGTAGCCTTTTAGCTTTTCTAAATATATTTTCATATATTTTATCTCTTTTTTCCTTCGTAAATTTTTTATATATTTAGAGAAGGTACAATATGGGTTACCATTTTGTTTATTGCTGATACCTTGACTATTTTTTGATCGAAAAAGTTCAAATTACATAATTGACATGTAGAATTGTTTTGCTCTTTTGTGCTAGTCCGTTTTTCTGCCTAGTAAGATATTTTTTCTGTAATGTCATAAAAACCCTCACGGTGTCATTTAAGCAAGAAACGGAAAAGTGATATAAATCTGGGCTACAAGTAAAAATATTTTTATTTTATAACTTTTTATGTATAATATTCACAAACATATTCGTCTCTTTATGCACCAGCATAATCTATATGTGCCCACAACTTGCACATAAGGCACTGAATCCATTGTCAGCTCGATAATCCTCACAAAATTTTCCGTCACAGAAAATACAATTTACATCCGTAATTTCCGGGTCCGTTACACCAGGAATCTCTTTCAAATCCATATCTTCATCAGCTGGTTGAAATTCCTGCTCACTATCGTTGTCAGAAGAACTTTCGATTTCCTTTTTATGCCGCTTCTCTGACCTGTTTTTAATTTTTTTCTTAGTCACCTCTCTTGTGGACTCAGCCGTAAAGTGTCATTTTACTGCTTGTACATTTAACTTCTATTTGCTGTTTTGCTGGTCTAGTGCTTCCTTGTAAGGTGAAGAAGTTATTACCGTTGATTTTGATGATTTTCTACCACGATTTGTAGATTTTTTCCTAACCGGCGGCACTGGCGATATTTCAAATGGACTTACACAAACTTCTGCAAACCAGACGGACCTGGTTTACTGATGTTTGCTGTCTTCTGGTGTTTTTGGTAGAATAGCAGGTTCAATAACTTGCGGTTCTACATGGATGTGGCTGTTACTTTCAATTTCTGCTGCAATAAAATCTGCATCTGAGAACACAGTCTTATTCAATGGATAAATTCCAGTGGCGCGGAATGCATTTATAGCAATTTCTCCAGTTTGACTTTTAAGGTATGCTTTGCCAAAAAGTTCTCCAATATCGTACAGAGAGAGGGCGCGGTTATTATAACGTAACCATTGCCTGATTTCTTCGCTATAGTATGCCTTGACGAAGCAGATCCCCACAACAAGAAATAGAAATAACAGATAGGGAAATGAGAACGGCCAAAAAAGCAATCAAAAATAAGAAAGCACCGGGACCTAGAGGCATCTCACCTGAGCATATATAAAATACGGCTCAAAAAATTATACCGGATGATACAATGGATATTTCAGAAAGCAATAAATGGAGAACAGCTCCCAAAGGAATGGACGGAGGTATATATGACATCTATATTAAAAAAAAAGAGATAGAAAACGATGCGAAAACTACAGAGGAATAAGCGTAATATCATCAATAGGAAGATTATAGGGAAAGATACTGCGAGAAAAGATAGAGCATGCGATAAAAGGCCAAATCGAGGAGAATTAGGCAGGCTTCACAGCAGGAAGATCATACATAGACCACATATACATACTGGAACAACTGTTAGAAAACAAAGAAAAAATAGAGATAAACATTTGGCATTTGTAGACCTGAGAAAGGCTTATGACTCTGTACCAAGGTCAGAACTATGGGAGGCAATGTACAAATTAAAAATACAGATTGAACTCATAGAAGCTACAAAAGCTCTGTATAAAGAAAATAAAGTGTTCATTAAAGTGAGAACAAGAATCATAGGAGACTTCACCACAACAAAAGCGCTCCTGCAAGGTTGTTCCACATCTCCAACCCTATTCAAAATATACTTAGAGAAAGCCTTGACTACATGGGAAAGAAAATGCAAAGGCATGGGAGTACCGGTACGGATCGAATACCTATATACGTTAAGCTTTGCAGACGATCAAGTAATGATTCATGTAGACCTCAGCTACATGATGAAGAAACTATAAGAAGAATATATCAAGGCTGGCCTAGATATTAACCTCGTAAAAACAGAGTACCCATCTACAAGTGAAGAAGACATAGAAGATCTACAGATTGATGAAAACGTAACAATCAAACGAAAGGACAAATTTATATACTTGGAGTTTATAATCACGAAAAAGGCAACAACAGAGGAAAAAGTTACACAAAGATTAGGACAAACAAGAACAACAATCAGACAATTTTCAGTATGGTGGGATAGACACCGAAATATGAAGACAAAAATACAGAATTATAAAACATTAGTGCGAAGTATTATGACATATGGGGCTGAAAATTGGGTTAAAAACAAGAAAAACAGTAAGATAGTAGGAACAAAGATGGAATGCCTGCGAAGATGCTGCAGAGTAATAAGCATGGATAGGAGGAGAATTGACGAAATAAAGTAATATACAGTCCACTAGCTATCGAAACAACATTTCCAAAGTGGCGAAGATATAGTTACCGTACTTCGAAGACTCGAAAACGGCACTCTGACAATGGTTTAAGGAGTACAGACAAGCACCAACGTGCAGCTGAGTACAAGCCACAATATATAAAAAATTATGAGTTATGTCATTAGTATATTCACCTATAGTTAAATACGTGATAGTGTACACATGTACGTACATTTATTATTCTAATAACGGGTTTGATAAGATCTATTAAACATCATTGCAAAAAATTATCGGTATTGAACTTTACCTATAGATATTATCAACACATAAATATATATTAGCAAAAATGAACAATAATAAGATGTAAATCATCTACTTGTATTGAAAGATTGTCATTCTATATCTTCGCGGTAATCAGTTGTACCAATAACTATATTTTATTCATTTAAATATGTCATCGTCCTATCATTTATTAAGTACCTACATTGAAATAATAATTGTTTATAATAAAAGTAAATGTTTATGTGCTGAGGGCAACGATCTTACACATCTCAAAGGCCCTAAATTAATTATTATTCCGTCCACATACAGGGTGTTTCACGACAAGTTTACAATACCTATTTAGATCAAAACTACTTACACGATATTTATGAAAATTGGTGTATGGGTATTACAAGGTATGGCTTAAAATCAGTGGCGGAGTAAGGCTAAATCGGGCAATAGGCAACATTCTAATTTCAGCCCATTTTTCAGTCAAGACACATATTTTGTGTTTGGTTTCAAAGCATATAGTATATAATTCTATTTAATTACAAGATTCCAAGAAAAAAATTGAAATGGTTAAAGAAATTCTCAGAATTTTGTTTAAAGTTGTAATCTGGTAATAATATTATAGTTCTTAATAAATAACAACATGGATACAGGCGAAATAATATTTTCTTTACTTATAAAAGTCTTAAATTGTAATACTTCATTTTTCAGGTCTGCTATATCTTGGTCATAACATTTTTATTCCTCTATTGAAGAGTCACTAATATCACCATCATGAAAATTGTTTTAAATTTAATGTTAATCACCACAGATAATGTGGTCACAAAAGTTTATAATAATATGTTCTGGCATTTTTTATATACATTTTTCCAATCACTCCTCCGTTTTGTCATTAACGTTGTTTGCTTGGAAAATAATATACAGTCTTAATAGTACAGTAAGTTGTTGATTTTAGTATGATCCAACCAATCTCATCTAAGTTTTTCTTGTGATTTATTTTGACCCTTCGTTACATCGAATAGAAGATGATTCCAAAAATTCATTTATTGAGTTTAGTGATTTTTTTTATATAATACTCTCGAATGGTGTCTGTTAAGTATCTGACCATAATGCAATGTCGTTTACAAAACTCTTAGTTTTAATATTTTTTTAGAGTGTTTTGTATAAAACTTAGAGGTTGCTGGTTAAATTAATTTAGAAATAATGGAGAAAAATGGAATATTTTGACTGTAAAAAAACTAGCTAAAAATAGCCAATACAACTGAGAATAAATTACGAAATTAACTAGCCTTACTCAGTATTGTTGTGTTTACAAAGAATGTAGACTTACCTTTTGGTATTGATGTGTTCATAGAGTGGAGTAGCGTTGGTGCTACGTCACGACGCCCGGGACGCTGAGGCTCGATAGCAAGAGAACCGATAAAACTGGGTGTGTTTCGTTCGCTGCCTAGTGAGGAAGTGTGGTCTCGAGACTTGAGATAGTCAGAGAGAACGCTCTAACCGTTGGGTGGTTTTTATACCTATGAGGGTATGCCTATAAATCACTATAATAAACTGGGATTTTGAATGGCGATAGTTTCAGTTAATTGTCATGATAATATGATACTTTACATCAGTTTCTATATTTATGATACAACATACAAAAGAGAAAGTCAAATTCTTTGAACTTAAAACAGAATAAATGAGCTAGCCAGTTTAACAATGTGATTTTACAAAATAACCGGAAACAACATGGTTTAAAGCGAAGTCGCTAGAATATACCATTAAATCAGAGCATATTATAGTATAGTAAAAGTAATTAAAAAAATATAAAAATATGAAAATAAATACTTCATACTTTCCCAAACATTCTCCTGCTCCAAAAACGAATGTTTTTAAGAACAGCTGCAAGTATAAGTGTAAAGAAAAGACATGAAAAGGTATATTAATAAATAATTAGGTAAGAAGAAAATATGAATTGACAAATAAGCGGCGGTCATGTTTTGACCAGAGGCCATTGTTGGATGGCATCTGAAACTGTGCTCGCGTACATTGCCATCAATTAGAAAAGAATAGCGTCGAATCAGTAGAATTGTTCGACCTACTAAACTAGAAAGACTGTGTCAAACACAATACCGTTGGCCCCCTTTCCTATAAGAATTAAAAAGAAAAAG